CCCATTACCTATGTTGAGTAGAGTTTTGTATGAACTCATAGCAATGGCGTAAGGCATGGATGCTTGATTTCTGTTCACAGGGGACTGTCTGCTAACTAAAGCTATTGCACAATGGTTCTTTTCCAGTCTCACAAAAAATGATTAAAATTATGTTCTTTTGATGGCAGCTTGATCTAAATAAACAGACAGAAAAGACCCTTTCATTTCATTGTCTATTAGACCTTGCTCTGGATCCTACCTTTGGGGTTAGAGGGACTCAGCCCTGATCAGACCTTAATAGATGTTAGTGAGTTTTAGACTGAGAAAGCTCTTTGATTGTTTGCTCTATTCAAACATATCCTTCCCCAGGAAAGCTTTCAGTCATTCCTGAATGAGATATACCCTTTGCAAAGGGGAGGCATAGCTCATATTCTGCTTTCTCAAGATGGTAGGATGTACCAAGCATCAAACAGTCCTTGGCTTGTAAGCTTTACAGTGGTCATACATTTCTTGATACAAGTCACTAATTACTTATATATTTCTTTCCAGAATGTGATGGTGATTGAAAAGTTAAACAGAACAGCAACATCTTATTCGGCAAAGCTGGTTGTGTGGAAGCAAAACCTAAGAAATACAAAAAGGACGTTCTGCAGTGTAGTGGCAGAGCATATTGATTTGGTTATTTCATATCCCTGCCTTTCTTGCCTTTCCTTGCTCACCTTTCCAAAGGTTCCCAAAGCATATGTCTGATATGCATAAAATTCTAAGTTTGGTCCTCAGCACCTTCTGTTCAAAGAGGTCTGAAGAAGCCAAACTGAAAAAGACCTCTGCCTGAGACCTTGGAAAGCCACTGCCAGTCAGGCTAGACCACATGGTATGGCCCAGTGGGATATGTGCATCTTTTGATTTCTTGGATGTCCACTGGACAGGATGTGCACAACAGTAGAAAATGATTCTGACAATACCCAATATGCCTTGGTGAACACCTGTATGTGAAACCTTTTCTCTGATGTTTCCCTTCTTAAAAGTGGGGAATTAGAAGAATGTAGGGTAGAATGCACTATGTTTTGGCTAGTCTGAAGCAAAAGTCCTTGCATGAGTGTCTTTTAAAGAAAGAGTTAAAGTACCTTGTTCTGTAAAATAGTGCTGTTCTCTGAGGATAGGAAGAACCAGTTGTGTGCCCTTGGGCGCACTGGGGTAAATGGAGGTAGTTCAGAGGAGCATCAGAGGCCGGCAGCTGTGTGCTTGCCTGAGATTTACTTGTTTTATGGAAAAGAGCTGGCTTTGACTCTCTTTTGCCTTACAGGGTCATACCAGATGTATACAGAATACATCTTGTTCATGCCTGATCAAAGTTATCCCATAACACCTTTCTTGTAACTGGTGATTTTATAAACAAGTAGAACATGCCAGCTGGATCATTGGGTCTTAGGCTATGTCTGTGTACAGAGAAATCTGTGTTTGACTTGTCAACAGAGCAGATGCTATACGGGGGGAAATGGAACGTATTGTGCCCTGTGGGGTCTGTCACTGTCACACAGGTATTCTTCAGAGTGTGACTGCATTGGATTTCTAGGGGCAACTTTTTCTGTGGTCGACTTGGAATGCCAGTTTAATCTTTCCTTCTGGGATTATATGCTGCAGAGTCAGTGCTTCCTAGGAAGAAGCCTTTTCACATTCAAGATGTACAGATCTATTCCACAGAGGGGGCATTTTGAATTTTACATTTTCCCAGCCCAAACTGCTTTTAATATTGGGCTTCGCTCGTGCATCACCCATCACAATAGCAAAGGATATTTGCAAGTGGGGGCTTCTAGGATCCGTTCAGTACTATGAAGAGTTAATAGATATCTGTCAGCAGCATTACAGCGATGTAGTGCTCATTTCAGAAGGGCCTTTTAATTATACCATAGCCCTGCAATATTGGCTTTTCCACAGCATGCAAACAGCTCCTCCTTGAGCTGACTTTGCAAGGTGTGAAAGTACAATTAACTTATTTTTCTACCAGCTGTAGTGGTGCAATCATGCCTTATACTATATGACAGCACACTCTGAGTAGTGTACTGTTATCGATGGAACTATGTTAAGCAACTGTCTTTGGACAATTAATGTTTTTCCTCAAAAAAGTTTTAATTCCCCACTTGAATTGAAGCTCTCAAGATTTTTAACAGCATTAGCATTGCTTGTGTTTTGTCAAACAGATTAGGCAAACAAGTTTCTTGGGCCTCATTAAATTTCTAGCTCTCTGTGTGTCTACTTTAATTGCTATGGTTCTCTAGCCAGTTGTCACCAAGACCTGAACATAGCCGCTGAGAGCAGCACACTAGTGAATCGTAGACAAATATTGATGCGCACTTTAGCATGAGATGTTAGGATTAAGAATGCACACACTAAAAGATGAAGTTAAACACTGGCTCCCCTCAGGTCCTGGTGACATTCATGGAATATGAATCAATTAGGAAGAGGTTCTGGAAGAGGCATGCCCGAAGCTCCACATTTCTGGTGAGACACAGGAAGGCAGTCACAATATGTTGCCAGCAGTGGATAGCAGGAGATCATTATTTTTTTCCTGGTGTTTGAGACAAGAAGAATGGCTTGGCATTCTGAGTGCGTGGCATCTGATATTCCATACCTGCAGCAAGTCCTATGGATTGTGATGTTGAGACTTGGGACAAGCACCTGGAGCAGTCAGCACCCCCAGAGGGTCAACCATAGACTAGGCATGGAGTAAGAACATGAAACAGTTTGTCAGCATCTATTTGCTATACCTGGCAGTCAGGCACTATTTTGGGGAGGCGCTTTCCCTTTCTGAGATTCCTTGATCTCCCACAGGGAATTTGGCGTAGTATCTGGAACAATCATTCAGCATGCTAGGCATTGCAAATATAACAAAAGATCCGTTTTTGGTTTGTCTCCAAAACCTAGCATGAAGTAAGACAGACTTCTCCCCCACGTTCTCTGCACAAAGAGCTTCAGCTTTTGGGCAGTGTCGAAATTAATTAAATAAATAAAATGACATGCCAGAGAACCAAGCAGAAGGGCTGGGACAGTTTTCAGCATCCAAAATGATGTGAGAGACCCTCAGCCTCTAGAGCTTTATGGTCACTGCTTGCCACCTGGCAACTTCATTTGTTTGCACAATGAAAATCCTCGTGTGTGTCTGTGTCTATGTCTGTGTAGTAATGAAAGCCTCAGTGGCATTTGTATATGTATTAGTGATTACAAAGAATTCAAGGACAAAATTATTAGTGTCAGGCTTCATAGTACTAGAAGTGTGTCATTCATAGCTTCTTAAATCCTGTATGTTGGCTTTGGACCTAAACCAACAGTGGAACTTCTTTACTGTACTGACTGGTACAAAGGCCAAGATATTATACCAATTTTGCAAGCAAATAATTTTGTGTAGGTGTTTGGAACTGGATTTTTTTTTAATCCTGTGATTTCAGGACTTAAGTTGCAACTTTAGTGTTCAGCATGCTAAACAACTGCGAGAAAACTGAAAAGAGGAAAAAATACAGACTTGTGGTAGCTATTTGACTTCAAAAATAGTAATACACCAGCAGAGTCACTTTGCTGTTAAGAAAGGTGCTTTAAAAAGTTGGTCTGGTGTTTTATTTTTACTGCTTCTGTCTGTTTACACAGTATTGGGGAAAATATCATTTAATTCTTATCTTTGTAAAACAGAAAGCTATAAAATCATCTGAAGCAGTAACTAAATTGCCTGGCTCTTTCTTCTGTCCTTCCACCTTTTTCTTTCCTTCCCTGCAGTCCATTCAGCAAAAAAACTACCTTTACCATTTGCACAGATCTTGGGACCAATCCAAACACCTAATTGAGATGGAAGTGATCAAACAATAAGCTTCCCCCATTTCCAGGTGCTGGGCTCATATGGCAAAGCTCTGTCACATTAAAAAAGCAACATTTACTTGATAGTAAACATTTTGTGTGAATTTAGGCTCAAGTGGGTTCACTGCAAGCTGCAAATAGTCAAAAGGAAACTTTCCTTGGCTCAGAAGCTTGTAAAAAAAAGGTGATAAATGTTGCATTCCACTAAATTAAATCAGCAAAATCCACATTTGGGTTTGAAAAACTGGTAGAATCATGTTCCAGCTTATCAAATTGTTGGCTGGGTCCATTTAATTAAAAGTTAAATTGAAGGCAGACATTTATTCCCTCTCAGCATTCTAACAAGTTCTATGCACATCCCTGCTTAGGCTTATTTTGCAATTCTGTTTAAAACACTATGAGGTGACTGGTCTATGTGGGGCTATAAAAATCCACACCAAACATTTACATGCTTTATTAAAAATAGTTTCTTCCCTGCTGTCCAGAGTTGACGCAGACAAAGCTGGAGCATTTGTGAAATCCATTGTTTAAGCTGATAGGATTTGGATGAATTAATCTATTTAACCAGGTTACTACGTTTTGCATGTAGAATTCTGTTTAAAGCATTACATGGTGTAATTAAAGCTTAGATTTTATATATATTGTATATACATTTTCTGTACCAGTAACAGCTATGTTCTAAGCATGTTTGCATCTGTCTGTTTTTGGATAGATGTTTAGCTCTGATATGTTGAATGGCAAGTTACATATATCTACCTTCCCAATCTCACTTCTGCATAGATTTCCCAAATTTCCCTTCTGCTTTTCAATGCAGAAGCAAGGAGACAGAAGGCAAATGGAAAGAACACCACAGTTGACTTCACTGTATTTTTAAACCTACTGGTTTGCTGGTTACTCTCTGCTGAGGTTGCATGCTCTCAAAGATGCTTCATGAATGCTTTACGTCAGCCTTCCCCAACCTTGTGCCTTCCAGACATGTTGGGACTGCAGCACCCAGAATTTCCAGTGAGTGGCCCTGCCGCATGGGAATTTCGGGAGTTGTAGTCCAAATGCCTCTGAAAGGCCACCAGGTTGGGGAAGGCTGCTTTATTCCATTGTCATTTCTCCATTGTAAGAGAAACTAAGCTAAGCCCTTTTACTAATCTTTATTCTCTACTTTTTCTCTTTTTTTATAGCCCTCTGCTTGCTGTTTCCTTTGCTGTGGCTTGTGCAGTTCCAGGAATAGCCCTGCTGACCCTTGGAGTAAATCCTCTTACTGGAGCCCTAGGAGCCTTCAACATTGTCCTGTACACATGCTGTTACACACCCTTGAAAAGAATGAGCATTGTCAATACGTGGGTAGGTGCCGTGGTTGGTGCCATTCCCCCAGTCATGGGCTGGACAGCGGCAACTGGGAGTCTGGACGCAGGTGAGTTTGACACACACGTCCGTTGGGCTCTTGAGCATGAGGACTTCCTTCCTTGCCTTCCCTCCCCTTTTGTTTTCTGACCTCTTGTTTTTCATAAGGCCCCCTTGAAATAGAGAGGCCTAGTTTTAAAGCATATTTGCCAGTATTTCTCTAATATTGTCTAGGGCCTACACCTTCCAGGTAGCAGGGCCTATTTTCCCCCACTGACTGATAAGCTAGAGATGAAACCAAGGCTATACCAGTTCCAAGACTGATTAGATTCTCTGAACCACAGCCTCAAATCCAGATTTTCTTAGAGTGACACCATCTCTGGCAGCGTAAGTTGAAGGTCTTGGGTAAGGAAGAGGGAGAGGAAGATGATCGCTGAGCTGAACAGAGCAGAGCAGAGACCCATTCCTTGGATAGCAAAAGGATAGCCTTGTGCCAAGGATACACCTCCGGTGGTTGAGAATGGGACACGTAGTGCCGGGTGATTTGATCATTATAAACATGTAGGGAGTGCCCACATGACATGACAGCACACAATGGGTTATTTAACACATGGAGTGGCTGCTCCACATGAGGGGCATGTACAGCCGCTCTGCATATGCAGCCCTTCCGCATGAACATGATGAGCACGGATTATGCAACAGCTGAGGGGAAAGAACCCTCATTACCCATGGTCTGGTTTTAGGGTTAGGAGAGGGTTGTTTATCCATCATATAACCCATGCTTATCTGATCTGAATATCACAACTCCCCAGATGGGAATTGCATGTACAATGTGACACTCACTGTGGCTCATCCAAATCCAGTTAGTGAGGCATGTTTGTGACAAACATACGGACCACATGATGACTTGCCTTCCTGGTTTAGAATGTTAGTTGCCTGGTGGACTGCTTAAATACCTGCTTTTAAGACTGTAAAATTCTCTGCTTGTTCCTCACAGCTCCCAAAAGCAAATAAATATTGCTTTAGTAATGATTCACATACAGCCATTTGTAAGCTAAATGCAACAGGTATGTAGAACAGTCTACCCTGTTTTGTTCCTTCACAGCCTCTGTTGAAATGTATCTAGGACTGCAGAAGCCCAGTCCATTGAGGGGGTGCCATTCAGTAAACTTCCTCCTGTAAAATTTGTAAGCAGCAAGCTGGTGGCCAGTGGCCACGTACTGTGTATATATTGCGCAACAGGGTCCTAGCTGGAGACTGAAGCGGCGTGGCAGAGGGAGCGCATCTGCAGCTCTCCGAGCAACAAGCACTGTCATGTCTCCCTCCTCAGTCCCATTCACTGTGTGAATAGGGTGCTGAACGCGCAGGGCACACAGAAGGCTGGCACCCCATGCAGTTGGAGCCCCCTCATTGGGTGGCTTCAGGTAGCTCCCCTAGTTTCAAGTAGTTCTCTCCACTGGGTGCTTGCATCCCTGTCCAGCTGTGGAACCCTAAGCCATGAGCCCTGCTAGATGTGCACAGCACACTTCAAGCATTCCTTCCAAAACTCTGCCAGTAAGCAAGTTCCCGAAAGGAAATGTACCGGACAAATGCCAGGTCCGCCTCGTTTCATTCTCTTTCCGTTGCAGTTGTACGGAGAAACACTCACTCTGAAAGTTGTACCAGTCTGCCACTTTTAGTATTTGCTTTGCTTTGGAGAGTTTAGCTAGAAGTCTTGATTGTGTGTAATGATATGGCGATAGATAAATATTTTTTTATTTATTTATTAAAACATTTTTATGCCGCCCCATTCGCCGAAGCCTCGGGGCGGCTTACAACAAAAATTAAAATAACATTTTAAAATATATACAATAAAATACAAATATATAATATAAAACATACACTATAAAACAAGCCGCCCTGGCCAAATAAAATTCAATAATATTAACATTTAAAATACTGCTTAAATAAAAAGGTCTTCGCCTGGCGCCGAAAAACAAATAACGACGGCGCCAGGCGGACCTCTCTGGGGAGCGCATTCCAAAACTTAGGCGCCACCGCTGAGAAAGCCCTCCTCCGAGTAACCACCCTCCTAACTTCTTCCATGGAGGGCTCCCGGAGAAGGGCCTCTCCCGCCGATCTCCAGGGGCGGCTGGGCATATAAGGATGTAAGCGCTCCTTCAGGTAACCATGTATAAATGTACTTATGTATAAACACATGTCACCACACTTTCAGATTGGGATCTTGGTATTCATTTGCTCACTGAGAGTGTTGAAAAACACTCAGATCGTGTATCCAGTTCTGTATCTGAAAAAGAAAAAGTGTGATACCTTATTCACACTGACAGTCACGGTGGTGCAGTGGTTAGAATGCTGAACTGAGACCCAGGAGACCTGAGTCCTAGTCCCCAGTTGGCCGTGAAGCTCCCTGGATGATTTTGGGCCAGTCACAGACTCTTGGTCTAACCTACTTTTCAAAGTTTTTGTTGTTGTGAGGTTATACTAGAAAGGAAGAGAATCTTGTAAGCAACCTTCAGTTTCTTGCAAGATGAAAAAAGGCAGGATATAAATGCAATGTAAAATGTATGAAAATATGTAATGTGCAATTGTAGGCAATTTTAGTCCTTGGTTTTCTTATACCTTAAAGCACCAAGACTTTCAAAGAGCTCATCCATATGTGCATTCTTTATTAAGTCTTCATGCCTACAGTTTGCTTATCCTTTTGTTAAAGAAGTTATGAACACCTTCGGTATGAAGAAATAGTGTGTGCTCTCTCCACATGAACAGGCTCCCATAACCCGTGAGCCTTGTCTCTGGAACCCATTACTGTTCTGTAATTAAATAGGAGGTGTAACTTGGTTTTAGCTGTAAGTGTGGAAATACATTTGCAGCTTGTTAAAAAGAAAAAGAGTTTTTACCCTACTGAACAAACAACAACAAGGGAGAAAGAAAAGAAGACTGCGCACAATTTCTTTGGTGTATGTAGTGCATTGCTTTTTATTAGAGAGTTTCTCCTCAAATAAGCAGCCCAATTTTTTTCTGGGCTACCCTGCTAAAGCCAATTCAGTCAGAATTAATCACCTCTTCATTCTTGGTTTGAATATCACCCTTCAAACGAAGGGGTGGGGCAGGGCAGCAAGTCAGTCTATGACTGGGCTGACGGGAGCATGGCTACTTGATCAGTTCCAGTCTTAGGTGTTTCCCACAACTTAATCAGTGGAAGCCCTGGCTTGGGGAATAAAGTATGAAACTTTTCTATTAGTGGTAAGCTAAGGGAGTCCAGAGCCATCATCTTTATCACCACAGTAGAAATCACAGCAATACTTCATGCTAACGTCTATCAGCTGGAATCTAGCTTCCAGCTCATGTGAAGGCTCAAATCTCAGAGCAGACTTCAAGTTTAAGATGCCCACTGAAGGTGCAGAGAACTTCCCTTCCCAGGAGTTTGCAGCAAGTCATGCGGTTTTCATCTAAACTTGCCACTGTTTCATGGGCATATGTCTTTCTCATCTACGCCTGGCAAGAGTGAAATTGGATATGCTTCTCTGGTTAAAAAGAGCAGGGCTTTTCTGGAATTGTTTTTTCAAATGCAGGCTGTTTTTTGGCTGTTCAGAGATGTGATGACTGTTTGGAAGGATGAAGGTAGGGAGCCAGAGGTGCAAGTGCCATCCAGTGACAGTAATTCAGAAATGTCTCCGACATAATCAGTTTCTCTTGCTTGGTACTTGTTGCCTTCATTGTATTCAGAATAGCCAGGATTTTAATTTTTCAAGCAATGTTATTACACTTCTAGTTAGCACCTTTTTCTCTTTCAAGAAGGAAAAAAACAATATCATGAGAGGAAATAAAGGATCAGTGGAAAATGCTGAAAAGGACAATTTTTCCCATTTGTGCAGAGACTTAGGTTGAACGTCTTGCTTGCTGCCAAGAGCTAATGGCTTGCTGATAATATATAATTTTCTTCATCTGTGTACATGCCTCTAGCCAAAAAGAGAAATTTTAATGATAATGGGAATTTATGTCATGTGTTTAAGGTTTTCAAAGCACTTCACATGCATTGTCATGTGAATCCTAACAGCAACAATGAGGCGATAAGGTGTTCAAAGCATTATGTGCCTGGACACCTATTGCTGGGGAGCACAAGTAAGATGGCGCTGATGCACTCATGTCCTACTTGTGGGCCCCGCAGAGGTTTGCCTCTGGGTGAACAGGATGCTGGATAACACAGGCCTTCGGTCGGATTTAGCATGCCTCTTCCGAGGTCCTATAAAGGAAGGTCAATATTGTTTTCTCTGTCTAGTGGGAAGGCTGAGAAGAAAGGAGCTTGCGTAAAGTCTCCTGCTGAGTTCATTGCCAAAGTGTGGTTTGAATTAGCAGCTTTCTTAACTTTATATTCTTTGCCATTTTGCTGTGCAATTGAAATACAAATTCAAGAGGAGGAGGAGGAGGAAAAAACCCAAGCAAAAATTGGTTTAGAAGTCTACACGTTCTGTAATGAAAATGAAGTTTAAGCTCTGCCTCTGTTTGTCATGAGAAAAATGGTCAAGGAGCTATAAGAAAAATTCTTATTTGCAGTGTGGGATCATAGCACTGAATAATCTATTTTCCTGCCTCCCTTCCCAACTGTGTCCAGTGGTGTCAGTCCACCACTAGAACAGCCATCACTGTGGAAAAGGATGGATCCTCCCCATCTCCGTATGCCTTTCCCCACCCCCGCAGATCTGCTCTTGTGCAGCAGGCACAGAAGTCCTATGCAACAGGAAAGCTGCTGGTGTGATGGTGTTTCCTGAACTGTCAGGCTCTGTGTTTTGTGCAAGAACCTTGATGTCTAGAAGCCAAATCTATTTTGAGGAACATTCAGTTGTGATGATTTCACAAATGAAAGGGTTCTGTGATTTACAGCAATATGTTAGCTATTTCTAATTCAGTTACACAGAGTTGCTGAGCTACTGAGATCAAGCTACAGAGCAGAGAATTTTTCTTTTACTAGAAATTCTGTAGCTGAAGAATTCTTGGAATCATAATTTTATTTCAAACCGCTAAATGTCTCTGCTACTTATGACTTCAGAGAGAAACATAAAATGTATTGAT